CTCGGTGAAATGCACGAGTTTAGAAATGCACGGGGGTGGGATGAACCTGGGGTCTTCCAATAGTTTCCTATTTTGATTGTATTCATATGATAATAAATCATTTCCGCACGAATAAGAGTCCTATTGCAGCGCTTGTACGGCTCCACCACCGAGTGTTTTCGGTGACCGCGACCAGAGAGCAAGCGAAAATGTTAGATGCGACGAGATGGGATAAGTTGCCCGAGGGCGACTGGTTGCGACAAGACCCGAAGAAAATGAAGAAAACGGTGGAGTGCCGGAGTATAGCAGCCTTACAGGTGGGCGTTTAACGAGGACTGAGTTGGGGTGTATTAATACGTCATAGTGTTGTGGCGATGTGTACATTGGAGTTTCACCACCCTAGTGATATGAAAAACACTAGTGAAAAACATATTACACGAATAGGGCATATTTCACCGAGTTTTACGCCACTTCACGTGAAACGGGTGAAACTCCGATGTGGAAGTTCCGGTTTAGTGTTGGAGGAATATACGTTTGCTCTCCTCAGCTGAGCTCAGGAGTTTGTTCATCAATTATGGGAGTTTATATACGGATTTGCGTAGAAGTGTACGGAAACCAACAAGAATTTCCCATAATTTTTTCATTGTCATGAAAATATGCATATCTTCGCCACAGTGGTTTGCGTACGGTGATTCTCACAGAGTAAGATGCGTATCTCGGAGTGTGAGAAAGTATGCACACGGTCAACCACATATGCTGGTGAGTATAAAAATTCTGGGGGGGGAAGTTTGGCGAATTCTCATTGGTATGTGTCCAGTGTTGCTATCCTAATTCGTATATGAACTTGTATACTCTGCGAGGAAACTACTGAACTCAGCTGAGGAAAGCGAATATAGCCGAGCCTACTTGCTTTGTATTTAGGACTTATCCGAACTGTTTTGGGATGGCAGTATCACGAGCTCTACTGCTAGGAAAGAGCTGATGAAACGAGTGAAGTCGTGGGAAACAGCGATCGATAAGAGAGCGAGTCAACCCAGTGCGGCATGGAGGATGCTGGTTTCAGTGAGGAAGGCGGTAAGTCATGTTCAACTTGCGGGAATTTGATAGACTACGCTAGTTTCACATTTCTTCTAAGGTGAATTAATCTACCACCAGAAGGTGCGCATTTTGTCGTTGCTATGTGTATTTGTGAGTACAGTGCAAAACATTGTTGGAATATATGTTTGCTTACCTCAGCTGAGCTCGGGAGCTTTCTCATTATATCATGATCAGTACGGGGGGATATGCACATGGTCAACCACATGTGTTGGTGACAATATGAAAATTCAGGAAAAAAATTTTGAAGATTTTCGTTAGTTTCTGTGCACTCCTACTGGAGCTCTTCAACTCAGCTGAGGAAAGCGAGCATATAATTCAACACTGATCATGATAATGATTGCACCAGAGTTGGGGTAGACGTGTACAAGAACCAATAATCCAGGGTGGCTGAAAATGGAAAGAATGAATCTTTCCATTCTTTCCACGAAGCAAGCTTTCCGTCGGAAAGCTTGCGAGAGGAAAAAATGGAAAAAAACGGAAAGAATGAAAAAAACACGTGTTTTTAAGGCTTTTCGGGCTTTTTTCAGCCATTTCACGTTGTCTCGGACAATAGGTTTCGGTCCATGATTATAGGCCTAAAATAATAGGAATACTCCCGGTCACGAAATTCCCATGATGCAGAGGTTGGGGGTGTGAACCGTGAATGGCTCAGCTCTGACCTGTGAAATCTTCATTTATGTCAGAGCCAGCAACCAGGCAGTAGCCCGTGTCTGCTGCCAACTATGAATTGGTGGCCAACACGGTTCAGTAGGACACAAGAGCTGCCCGACTCCATACCCGGTACGGGTCGAGTCAGCAGTCTCTAGTATCCTACCTCCACATCCAGGGAGCGGAGGGCTGGGTCGAGCTCGCGTCCGCCATTATTACAACTGTGGGCACATGGGTGTGCCTTATTGCTAGCATCTCACTAGCTCTAGCATTGAACCACGCTGGACTACCGCAATTGTGGTTATTCTCGAGCGCACACGAGTGTATTTTGTGTACATAGGCTCTGCGTGGTAATTTCGCTCACGCCGATCCTCCTGCGTAGGATTGCTACCACGAAATTCCCATGATGCAGAGGTTGGGGGTGTGAACCGTGAATGGCTCAGCTCTGACCTGTGAAATCTTCATTTATGTCAGAGCCAGCAACCAGGCAGTAGCCCGTGTCTGCTGCCAACTATGAATTGGTGGCCAACACGGTTCAGTAGGACACAAGAGCTGCCCGACTCCATACCCGGTACGGGTCGAGTCAGCAGTCTCTAGTATCCTACCTCCCTTCACTCCCAATCTCTGTCATTGAACTTAACACCACTGTGTTATAAGGTGCGTTATGAAATGATATCATAAATCCTGTAACTTAATGCGCATGCATCATCCGACTGGAGTAAATCTTTTCACGTCCCAATCTGCCACTGAAGTCTCTCATGTAATTATTCTGCACAGTCCTTACATCCTTCCAACGGCCATAGTCGGCGATAGCTTCCAATCTCACATTAGCATCCACCAGTAATCGTACACCGGTTCTTCTCATACTATGTGAAGTCTTCCTACCAACTTCATCACCTTCATCTACCTTTCCACTAAACACTGCAGTCACTAAGCTGTTAATATCTTTTCTAAGTTGAGTATAAGTCGCACCGAACAAACGTCCCTCTCTCTCACTATCTTTCAAGGTAGCTAGCATACGAACCAATCGGTGTAAAGCACAAGCATGCTCTTCGCACCGACGATGATGTGGAAAAGACACGCAGCCTACATATACTGTTGCACCATCACCACTCTGATCAGTTTTCGAGTGCCGTATCTTGATGGCAACGTAATCACCATCGGCACCGAGAGTGATGTCCGAGAACTTTAAAGAAACCACCTCCTTCAACCGCATTAATCCCATGGTGCCGACCAAGTAAGCCACTGTACTTCTTGCTCGTCCCGACTCGGGAACCAGGTGGGCCAAAAGGCCCACTTGGTCGATATCCAAAGTAACGGTCCTCTTCGTCGAACGATTACTCAACAGGCGCTTTGAAGCTTGAAGTGCCAACCTTACTCTTTCATTCTCCATTTGTGAAAGCTCATAGTCTGACAGAAGACGGGACTCTAGCTTGATCGTCCCAACATAATCGGTAACCGTCTCATACTTGAGCGCTTTCTTAGTTAAGCCAACTGTATAAGCAACCAAACTTTCACCACTCACTGGGAAAGCCACAAACCCAGATGAAGCACACATCTCCTCATAGTTTCTGATGGTGTACCCTCGCTTACGATTAGTCGCAGCGGCTCGGGCCATTGCCATATGCTCAGCAACATCAGTCATCGATGCCAAAGGCACACTACCTCGACGGGTGCCTGGGATATCCCCGGCTACGCACTGCGAACGTAACCCTGGCACCTCGCCGAACATTGCGTGTACACTGCACTGTGCAACAGGCTCACGAGCTGTCGACCAAATGTCTCGACCTCGGCGGAACTCGGCTTCGACAGCAGGATCAATGCTCACCATTGTGTAGAGGGAGACTCACTCGAAACTAGAAAACATTCAGGAGCCAAACTAACTCAAGTCCATAGGAATATCAAATTCCGAAGACACGATAGTTACTGACGAATAGCAGCTATTCATAGGACTCAGGCAATAGCAAGGACAAGCTCTTGTAAAATAGGGTGCGTGTCGATCTCCTGCCCGAAAGCCTTCAATGTCGTGTCACGCTCATCGGACGACGAACGAGACAAGAAATCCGCAAGATGATTAACCTCACCCTTGATATGATCGGCAGCAATACTGTAGCCCAGGCTTGGCCATGCCAGCCGTAGCCGCCGCATGGTCTCATTCATGCGGGCTGATCTCGCTCTTCGGCGATTGATACAAGCGACCGTTGCTACATTATCCGATAGTACAGTCACTACTTTGTATTCACGGGCCAACGCCCGTACAATGCCTATCACCGATGCCAGTAGTTCGAGAGGACCGATTTCCGAGCTGGTCAGTACTTCTCCTGGGACTAGTGTCTCGATGAGAGGCTCCTCCACATACCGCAAATGGAACCACTCGACACTCTGAGATGAAGTCATAGTTGAAGCACAATTCATCGGGAATACGACTCCGCCAAGACCATCCAAGGATGCATCCGCGACAACTACTGCTCCTGACACATCAGGGGACACCCAACCGAGCAACTGCGAGGCAGTGGTTGACGCCATCGTTGGTCGTTGCAGAAGATCAAGGAATACTCGAGCAGACTGAACCAGAGACGAACCGACCCGGAGACGTTGTAGACGATGCTTACGAGCACTGGCTTGCAATGCATAGAAGGAACTCAGCTCGGAACTGTACATCGGGGCTATCTGGGTAGCCCAAGTTAGGCGGCCTGTTAGACGGTCTACTAACGATGTAGGTATAGTCGTTGTGTCCTGAGACGCAATAATCTCAGACAAATCGGATAACAGTTTAGCCCTTTTGTTTTCAGGCAACGTGACCGTTAGATCTTCGAGATTCCACCTATAGCCTAAGTTGTGTGGCGTTTGAGTAACATGTAGTTTTCCATACGAAATACTCAGTCCCAAGCTCTCCTCGATAAGCAGGATGCTCACCATGACCTCAAGTGCCCGAGACCGGGTAGTAACCCAGCCAATATCGTCTACGTAAATCATCCCAGTGCCATTTGTTACATGCTCAGATAAGAGCCGCTTCGTGACCCGATGCACAGCCGCGAACAGACGGCACCAGAGAAGCGGTGAACAGCGTAAACCAAATGGTAGTCGTAGGTGCTGATAATACTTTCCGCTAACATAGTTAACAAGATATTTCTGATCTTCGACGAACACAGGTATGTGCCGAAACGCTGAAGAAATGTCTGACTCAATCCAGTAGAGTTTCTCACCTTTGGGAGCTCGTCGACGCATCTCAGATAAGATATATGCGGCCGTACTTAGGCCCGACAATGAGATAGTTTCAGCACAATGGACACGTTCATTCACACCGGACCGGCGTAGATCATCGATGAGGCGAATATCACCCGAGGGTTTGAGGACACATGCCAACTTCGACAACACCGAGCCCGGGGGAGGAGCAGTACAAACCCTCATATGTCCTTCGGAAACTTCTTTATTGAGGGTGGCAACAACCTCGTCGATGAAAGGTGCACATGATTGATAATTCTTCCATGATGATGCTGCTGACATAGACAGACCATAACCAGTGTGTTTAGGACCAGAATCTTTGGGCCATAATCCAGTCGCAGTAATGGGACTATCAATACCTATACGGCATCCATGTGCAACTTCGTCACATATCAAGAGGTCTTCGAGTTCATCAGGTGCCTTTGTTGCCAGCAAGAGTGCACGAAGGAGGTCCGTTCTGATAGCACATGTGGTAGCAGGCATAGACGATACATGCAACTCCGCTGACCAAGTCACTGCAAGCTTGCTCGCAGACGTACTGATAGCCTGGGATAAGAGCTTCAATGTGGTTGACTCCGCGGACTGCTCTTCACGAGGAAGCTCGATCCACTGGGCCAAACGGTCAGTGATACCTGGTTGCGCCAAGACCTCGTGTATGGCTGATGCCAAACGAGTACGCAAAGGGGCAAGTTCCAAGGCGGTAGATGTTTCCTGCGGGAAATCACAGGGAAACCAACGGCAGGCAGATGGCTTTGACGATCCATCGGAGAGTTCATCCAAGCACTTATCTTGCTGGTTCTTGCGGAAGTTACCTGCCATCCTCTCGTAAAACTGTAAGAGTTTAAAAGGATCCATAGCCGCAGTATACTTATCCTGCGCCACCACATCTCGTGCTTCAAGCTTACGAAGATGTCGCTCTCGACGTCCGGCGTTGCGTCGCTTACGAGCTTGAGCAGATCGACAGTGTCTACGACGGCCCAACGGCTCTCCGTCGTGGGGCATAGTTCAAGCAAGTAAGGAGAAAGAAACTGAGTGACATATCGCACATCTGGGGAGAGGCAATCCACTCACCAGCCGTCATAACTCGACACAAGAAGAAGTGAGGGCCTCGAGGGGTCCAGAGGGGGAAGGCTTGAAAATAGATCACGAGGAGTTAGTCTAACTCAGTTAGACGAGCTCATGGTAGGGGGCTCGGAGCTGGGAGCATTGGTGTTGTCGTAAGGTTGTGAACGATGCCCCTTTCCTTTACCTTGACCTTTTCCTTTACCACGGAAAGGGGCAGAGCTCCAATTAGAACCCTTTCCCTTAGCCTTGCCGAAACCCTTGCCTTTACCAGGGGAATAGTCTCGATTGTTGAGTACCGAGCCAATCTCCATGTCCAACCTTGGACGAAGATAAGTCTCTTCACCGAACAACTTCTCCATCGTTATTACTCCACTAGCGACCGCCATGGCACCGGTCCGTCGATACTTCGCCTCTGCCTGTATAACTGCCTGATACGGGTGGACCTCAAATGCAGCACAGACGTGAGCCAAATAAGAGAACAATGTACCGAAGTCTACCTCTTTACGGCCTCTATCAGAGAGTTGAAGAGTTACCGCATAGCGCACGAAGCACTCGCACCATTGACCAATATTACGGATCGGCTCCTTCTTGCCATCTGAGCGCCTCGGTTGTACCACCTCACCAGTGATTGTAGTGATCGTCTCGAGGTCATTGTCAAAACATGGCTCGGGAACATGAACTCACCCAATCATAGTAAGCAAACGGT